CGTGGCTTTCAAAAGACAATAGTAAAAATAATTTAAAAAAAAAAGCCTCCACCCATAGTCTTCTGTAAGAGAAAGTATAAGTGCGGTGGCACGTCTGGGGTTGCTTCGGTATCCATTGTTATTATTTTTTTTGGGCACTTTCTATTCTTTATTTAAGCAGTTTCACTGGACTTGCGCACAGATCAGCAGGTTGTTTACAAACAACTCCATATTTGCGCATTCCAGATGTGGGCGTTGCACTTGCGCAAAAAGCAGGGTCGCGTGAAGCATATACGCACGCGCCGCGCCGACTGCAGCGCCACCACAGAGAAGTGACGTCAGTGGGCGCGCGTTGGTGTGTAGACAGGTTCCGAGGGTAGAATTCCCATCAATCCTTCGGCTCTTTGCGGGGCGTTACTAATTTCATTATTTATGTTGATAACTAAAATATATGTGGGTGCGTTTTCGATTAGATATTCCTTACCTTAACAATCCGTGCACATTTTGACCGCCAAAAGCGCCGCTTCTTCCCCTGACAACGAAATGTTGTAAGAACTACGTCGCACGGCATACAAACAATGCGCAAAACTTAATTCATTAAAAAAAAGTATGAAGTATGCTTCCCATGTATTTTTTTCGGCCTTCGCACTATTGAGTTTTTTCTCTAAGTTTTGACGTGGGTGCAAGTTTGCGCGTCTCAGACCGAGTGGGCTAGCTTCTGTTGTTGTTTTCTGATTGGCTAACGTCCGTCAAGATGACGAACGTCTGCCAATCAAAAAGCTGGAATGGCTGGATTTTCCAGTTCAGCGGGCACTACGGAATGTGGTATGTACTTTTTTTTAACATTAGGTAACTCTAGGCTCACTAAATTTTTATATGAACGTACCTTGCACGTTTGCATCCGTTATGCTGTGACGAACTGGACGCAAACTGAGGACGCCCTTGAAAAGTTTCATTGTATAATCGCTTTAGCTGCTGAATTTAACACCGCCGAAGTGAATGCATTGCAACCGGTTCGTAAAGCTGAGGTATTCCACTATATTTTTTAACTTGCCTAAAAGATGTACTTTTTTGTTTAGCTCTAAATACGTGTTGTTTTCGCTGTTTAGGCTTTGCAAATATAATTGGTGTATTAATAAGAGCCTGTACCGAGGAGCTGCGTACAGCAGTTTCTACTTGCGTAAAGCTTCACATGGTGGTGCCACTGTACACAGCGCGACACAATCGGCACGAACACGCAAAATCTGAATTTCGTTTCTTGCACAGTAATGAGGAACATCGATTTCCACCACCTAAGGGGAGTCCAGGATGAACAAACTTGACCACACAAGCCATTTAAGTCGTAAGAGAGACAAACAACATAAGCAAGACAAGAAAAACGATGACTTGTTCGTACTAACCGTACCGTTTCCTGTGCACCAGCCAACGGAGGTATAGAACAGTCTCTCCCCCTATATGACCACATCTTGAGTACCCAAGTTGGAACTTCCAATGTGTTTATAAAATAGTGGTACAAAGCACCGCGATCTCCCAGTACTTGGTCAACACCACAACTTGGCAACCGGCGAGCACTACGATCTCAGCGAACCAATCGGAGCATCGGATCGAATCACGCGACAGCGTGTTGGTAGGTTCCTCCACTGTGCGGAGCTGTCGCGTGCTTTGAATGGCTTCGCAGAAAACCTATTCGGAGCGCAAGTTCGTCTGCTTCTTTTGCAGGGGTTCTGGTGACGTCAGAGTTCCGCGCTCTCATTGGTTCTGAATGAAGGATAGTGGGTAGACCTCGAGGCAGCTTGCTTTGAGGTCTATCCACTATCCTGCGATCTGAGCCAATCAAAGCTCGGAGTTTTTTCTGGCGTCACAGCACCTCCTGTAAAAGAAGCAGACGACTTGCGTTCCGGATTACTTCCGCCCCCCTCCGCTTCCCCTTTTGCCAAGGTGTGCTGAAACCAAGAATAGCTTGCTGCACCTTATGGAGAAATGACGCTTCTTTGTTTATGTGGTGAGAGGAGAAAAAAGTGTTTTAAAGTTACGGTGACATCCAACTTAAGAAACGGAGGGCGGGGCGAGTCTCGTGTATCTCATTAAGGTCCTCCAGCCAATGAGAATACGGCATTGGCCGATAAGAACGCCAAAAGGACCAGTCACAAAGAGAGGATATTATAAGCACCGCCCCCTTTTCTTAAACTGTCAGTGTGCATAACAAGCATCGAGTCTCACGCGGGTAAAGAAGACACCACAGGAAGACGTTTAATGAACAGTGTGGATGCTAACATGAATGTATAGATGCCATAAAAAATATCGGCGGAGCGCACGCTGTAGTAGTACGTCGCACGTGGTAAGAACATTTCGTTCGCACGAACTGCGTCACGAAAACTACGTTCCCGGAGACGAGTTGACTTTAAAATGGCGGTTGCTACACACCATACTATATACGGGGGATATTCCGGTAAGAAACGGTGTACACTCTAAGAACGAAGCGGAGATATGAAGTACTTTGCCGGTCATATGCTAACGACCGTTTTGTTTTAAAACACTTTATATTACATGCCGAGTGCAATATACTACTACGAAACGAAATCTGAGGCGAAGACTGAGGTACGTCCAGGGGAAAAGGACCGATCCCCAAAGTGCAGAAAACCATAGTCGCAACACAAAACGGTAGAAGATAAAAGCTGATGAAGAGTTTGTGTACAAGAGTTACCATGAGCTAGCAGAAATTGAGTATCTGAAGTTGCAAAAAGTCCAAAAGCGCTTTGAAGAAAAGAAAACGGTCGCTCGTTACAATTAACACAATAAATGCTGCCACCGCGATCTTCCTTTAAAGCGAGAGAAGATGTGTCACTCGGTTCTCTCTGGAGCGATGTGCGACAAGCTCTTCGGTGTCTTTCAACTGTATGGCACTTGGAAAGGAGAAGTGTGTGATTCACTAATGTCTGCCTCTCAAGATGCGTTGGTTCTACGAGCCGAATAACGCGCCTTGAACGAACAGGATGCCCTTGCTAGTGAGGATGCGGTGATTGACACAGTGGTTGCTTGTTTTCTACGTACTTAAAAGATGACATGTTTACAATTAATTAGGGACTTCAAGTTCTCAAATTCACCACAAGGGCCGTCTAATAATACTGACGAGATAGATTGGTGCGTGCGCTATCGGCCTGTGTGTGCGTTAAGTGCGTAGATGATCGTTGTTGACAGTGAGCAAATCCGAACGGTCTGGAATAGGCGGGAGCTGGATGAAAAAGGTGACAAACTACCGTGGTAACCCTCTACACGACTGCGGAATCTCGTTTTGGCTTTCCTTCAACATGATGTGGTGTACACGTTTTGTTTTTATTCTATATGGTTCGCTTTTGCTTAGCACCATTCGGCGTAAACAGAGCTCAACAAGTAACTACAACTCAGTAACAAAGTTCCGGAACCGGCCGATAGAGGGCGCTTTTGTCAGTGTATATAAATATGACGAGGAGACGTTTCGGAAACAAAAACGAAGAAACGTCCTCGGTCAATTCTAGGCTTTATTCAACAACGATAGTGTGGTCAACGTGCGTTTCCTCTCACTTGGGGTACAGTGCGCTATGCGCCCTCTAGGGGGAGTCATAGTTTCGTGGCAGCCATTTTGTTGTGGCCAAGGAGTTGTTTGCTTCCAAGCTTGGCCAAGAATAACGTGCTAGTCACGCTATAGGGTGCCATGCTACTGTTCGCTTTGTGCTTTTTACAGAAGGAACTAGGTGAAGAAAAAAAATTTTCGATGTGCTGAGGTTGTTATTGAGTATGGTATCCTTTTTTTTTTTTACAGAAAACATCTATTAATGTGCATTGTTTTCTGTCTTCCAAACTGCTACTTTTGGTCTTCTGGTGAGGCCAAATTGATTTTCGGGAATTCACTTGTAGGTTTTTTGCAGGTTTGTCTTTCTTTCCCTTTGAAGGGCTCTTGTAGGTAGATTTAAAGCCTCTCCTCTCACGCAAAAAATAGAGGAAAAGTAAAAAGGTTGTAGTCTCGAGCAAGAAATGGGTTTGGAAACGTTACAATGTACAGCTTTATTAGACAGCTGTCTCGTAACTCCGCGTGGTCGCCAGTGCGCAAGATAACTGTAAAGTACGAGAAGACTGTAATGTCGAGCAGACATTCTTAATCTGCGGTAGCTCGTTCACGATATGTGTTGTTGAACATATTACGACTTGCCTTCAATAATATGCCGACTTCAGTAAATGTCTGTCCAACAGAACCTTAACATCATGAACAATATTTTTTTTTTGACGACGTGAAAAGGCTATCAAGATAGCAACCATGACACGCAACAACATATCTCAGCTGCCTCCGCTCACAAAGCTTTCCAAAAATGTCTGGCCCTTCAACAGTCCACATACTTGGCATATTGTGCAACCATTATCGACATCAGTTCCTATGAACCGACCTCAATATCTTCAAATTCCAAACTATGCCCTCTATTACACACATTTTAAACTGGCATTCGCTCCAGTACCAGTTCATACTCATTCCAAGTTGACGTCCGCGCCATTCCCAGATCACACGTTCCCTGAACCGTGCACTTTAGCCTTGCACGAAACAACTATCAGCAACTTTGTTCTTGCAGACGACACTGCTCCCGGTACAATATCCAAGTACGACAATAGTGACGACAAATATGCTGCTCACATATTGTAGAGTAGGTCGTTTACGGGATGCCGTGGCCTCGCGTTCAACTAGCTTCCAATCCAGGGATCGCTTGTCGTCTGCTTTATACAGCATTCACGTTCAGCGTAGAGATACAGTGGCTCAAGACAGTTGCCCACACAGTTCTACAATCCGACACCACGTCGTCTGCTAAACCATAGCAGACGACCAATTACACTGGTCGCCCACAGGAACCACCTTGAAACGTTCCGTGGACCTCCGACCACGGGCAGTTAACACCAGGAGCAGTCCCACATGGCCATCCCGGCGGCCATGTTTGTTGCGTACATGTATACAAACATTTGCATGTGTTGCCCTGTGCACATGTGTGCGCGCATGTTTGAAGAAGGGAAAGAGAGAAATATAAAAACAAAATGGGGGGTTTCGGAGGGGACGTCGAGGAGGAGTGGTTTCCTCTCAGGTGCGGGTTGCCGTCGTTTCACATGACGAGACACTTGCCCTTGAATTTCTCCTTATTAAGCTGCGACTTGGTCTTCTTAGCCTCCAGCTGGAGCGAGACGGAACGTCGTTTCTCCATGTTGAGCAGCTCTTGGAAGAGCTCCTTGACGTTGTGGTTCGTCTTGGCCGATGTCTCGAGGAAGCCGCACGCCCAGCGCTTGGCTTCCTCCTGGCCCGTGAGGGCCTCCACCTCCCGGGAGTCGGACTCGTCGCTCTTGTTGCCCACCAGCATGACGGGGATGCCCTCGGTGTCGTCTCCTTTCACCTGCACCGGCGGTCGGGACATTCGAAAAATTAGGCCTAGCACGGAATGCCTATATAAAGGAGTATTCGCTAACGGTCACAGCTGCGTGCTGCGAGGTCGAGCGCGTGCGGACAGCGAACGTTGACCAGATTCCCTTCGCACCATCAAAACTTGTTCGTAATAGACGACGATAAGTTGTCTTACCCTCAGATCCTGCTGATGACGACATCTGAATACTTTCTATAGGGGGTACTCGCTGTACGTCATAATTGAGTGCGATGTTTATTGCGCATGGTCAAAGCGAGCTCACTCTGGTAGGCTGTCAAGGCCGGCACTCTTGATGATGCAGAATGCACGTTGAAAAGGCAACGTCAAAGCTCGTCGTCAGCTCGCGTTCAGCAGCTATGGACTCAGCTATGGCCGCCAATGAAAACAACCCATACTCTATTCACCCTTATGTCGCGACCACAGTGCCAATGCATCGTGAAAAAGACAATCTGCAGGCACTTTATGAGGCGTGTTTCTTGCTTGTATAGGCGGTGCCGTCCCATTGGTCACGCAAAGACTGTCTGCGTGTACATGGTCTCAGCATGCATTTGTATGAAGGAAACATACTTCGAACGTGCGTGTTCGAGGCATGTCCACAGGTAAGCTTAGAGGTCTTTCTGGATGATCGTCGCAGAACATCAGTACGACGTTGGGGAGGCGACGCGTGAGTAATTCTCAATTTTTGGGAAATACGAGCGACACGAAAGCATGACCTCGTATCTTCCAATGACCTCGTATCTTCCACGCCAGGAAGCTGTAAGTTGAGCACCTTTATTCCGAAGCCTATCATGCGGGTGTAATGGGGAGCGCAATTCTCACACCGCGTTACTACAATCGCTGAAAGTTGCGAATGTACGTAGATAGAGGCTCCGCTAACACTATCTAGAATAAGCGAAGCCTGCAAACAACCTCCTCCTCTTCCGGGAAGCGTCATGACGGTCGGACGGAGCCAACTCGGGAATATACCCTTTTTCCAACGCAAGAGCCATATCTACTGGCCGTCTCAGAAGCTCCAATTCTTTCGCACTTTAATGGCGGTGCTGGGAGAACAAGATCGGCCAAAATCAAGCACCCCCGACTTCGCGAATTGAAAGCGACGTACGAGGACCAACACAATGAATCGATCTAATTTTTGCCGCTTTTCCAGACGTTCGCTTTTCCTCGCGCGAAGAAACTGCCTAGAATGCACGCCATTAGAAGGGCGTCGTGTTCGGCTCTGCAAAGGGTAGGTCGACTGACTTTGGGACAGGGTCTGTCGGACATTAGTTAGCCCGACGCCGAGCGTCCTTCGACGCGTTGATTGGACGCGAGGTCCGAGCCGAGCGCTGACGCACCATTCGCGTCCAATCTGCGTCGTCCCTCGATCTCGCTGTGATGACGTCAGAATATCAGTGCACAGGCTTTTATGGATCTACAGGCGGTGTTGGCTAAGCTCGTAACCTACACATAGGGGACTTCGATGTGCGCGGGTCTGCCTTAGGGGGGTGACATCGGGTCATTATGAGGCACGACGCCAATTTGTTTTTTGTTTTTTCTGCTCTGGAGCAAACGAAAGAGAGTCCGTAGGCTCGAACGTTAAAGCTGCGGTGGTCACACTGCTTATACATCATACAGAACACGGTTCGCAGACATTGTCCGAGATGTGGTTATTTTTTATATGACCGTCCCTTCACAATATTCGCACACAGAAAAAAAAAACTGTTTGCAGACATGTTTGAAGCACACATACGTGTGTATGAAGCGAACATGACTTGGACTTGCTTTAGCTTTGACTTGTTGTAGCTTTGATTAGAGCCGCTAGAGCCAGGCATCGGAGTAACGGGACGTTTAGCCATTTTGATGCTTAAGATCATTGTTGCCAGTCGTCCAAAGCTTTATTTAAAATCGCAAGAAACGGTTTAATGCACTCGGCACTTATGTGTGATTATCCTGCGTAGATCAGACAAGTTATTTTTTTTTTTTTTATTTTGCTGCATTTATGGAAAAGGGCTTCGTAGAATTAAAAAAGGAAAGTAATCTTAAACATTCTGGTAGAACAGCGTGCGAAAACGTTGATGGTATGCTTATCAAACCCGGTTTTGCATCGCCAGCCTTGTGCCCGCTGCAAGACCGGTAAGTTTAGCACACACCCGCGCCTCACACGTGCTTCAAGTCTTCCTAAAACTGATTCATTTAGGCTTTTTCTATGACGCTTAGCAAGTTTCTAGTTGGAACCATGTAATTATTTTCGCTAATTAAGGAGGTATTTAGTTTAATGTAGTTATTATCTAGCCAATAAGTTTTCTTTTTTTTTTTATAATCCCCGACGCTTACGGTGCAAGCAGTTTGTTCCCGAAAAAAAAGTTCCTTTTTGGGAACAATTGAGGTGGGTGGTTCACAAAGAGAGCTTCTTTTCGGAAACCACCTAGGAATCGCTGAAGCCATAGAGTTATTATAATGTACGCTAGAGGTTCAACTGGCGCTAGTGTGCTGCTGCAAATTGAAGCAGACAGCAACTAGTCGGAAATTGACTTCCGGTAATGCTTTTCTATGGGAAAAAGCGGGTGCATTTTCTCGTAGCGCTCGATTACAAGAGCAAATATACCGAATATTTCGTACGTACTAGGCACATTGGAACATTTCTCAGTCACGCAGACGAAATAATTGGTCAGTTACGCCGTTTTTATTTCAAATTCGTGACATGAAAAACGGTGCTAAAACCGTTTTGTATTTGTGTGCACTGTCGGACACTGTTAGCACGAACACGGCGTCGGCGCTTTCCGCCATGGGGGATATCCGTGTCAAACGACCGAAGGACATGTGGAAAACCAAGAGCGACGGCAAAAACTACGCAGTAACACTGGATAAGTAACTATGCGGGCGATCAAAACAAATTGAAAGCCACGTAATATAGTCCGATTTGCAATAAATAATTACTGCTTTATTCTTTCTGCTGGTAATTTCATATATAAATTCATATTCAATTCATTCATTTCATATGTGCGAAGATGCATGTTCTGGGTTCAAATCATCAACCGCACGCTCCAAATCTTTACAAATAGGGAGAAGTCAGAAAACGGGTGCTCGATAAAAACTGCCTGACATAGGAAATAATAAAAAGACACACCTTTCGTAGCCCACGTACTTTATTTTTTTACATTCGAATGCTTTTTAACCGATCGTAAAGGTGCAAGACGGAGTCATATTCATAGAGCGACAGGACGGGCACATTGGCAATATATAAGTGCCACCGGAATGCTAGCGAACCTTGAACACACTCTATACCAGGGGTGGCCAGGCTGGCCTGGCCTAAGAGCCGCAAACAAAACCACGGAACTTCTAAGAGCCGCGGGGGGGGGGGGGGGGGGGGGGGGGGCAAATTTAACTTTTGTTCAGAGTCTGACTGTACGTATAGATTCACAAGGCTGTACGACTGTACGTATGGGAGTACAAGGCTGTCAAACTGCAAGCTGCAGTGTGCTTTATTCTGAAATCCTTTTTTTTTTTTCCTGGGAAAACGCGGAAAGGGGCGAAAGGGGGTGGGGGGGGGGGGGGGGGTGTCCCCTTACAAGAGATCCGCGAGCCGCAGTTGGACCAGCAAAGAGCCGCATGCGGCTCGCGAGCCGCGGTTTGGCCGCCCCTGCTCTATACATTCCTTTCGATCGTTATTTAGCTCAGAATCCTCGCTCGTTTTTACGTACCTGTCATGGAACAGAGGTTTGGGTATGAAATATAGCGAAGCGCAACATCGTTCAGTGGTAAAGAAAAATGCTGTAACTAAAGCAATTACACTTTTACAATATTAATAAAGGTACATACCATCCGGTACAACCAAAATAATAAAAGTTATTCATGTTATTTTCCGCCGCAGAGACACAATTCACGCGCGTTTTCCCATAGGAATGCACAGGAGCACCGCAAAAGTAGACTGGTTGCTGTCTGCTTCAATTTGCCTCCCGGAAGTCGCATAGACACTAGCGCCAGTTGAACCTCTAGCGTACATTATAATAACTCTATGGCTGAAGCATCCGGTGTACAGTTCAAGTTTTAAACTTTACAAAATTTAGTAAAAAAAAAAAAAAAAAGCCGCGAAAGTTATAGATCAGGGGTGGCCAGGAAGACCCGGTTTAAGAGCCGCAAACAAAACCACAAAACTTCCAAGAGCCGGGAGAAGGGGGGGGGGGCAAACTTTTGTTTGGAGCAGTAGACGAAACTCAAACTACTTTCAATATATCCGAGTCAAAAGCAATTCAACTATACGCAACATAGGGGGGGGGGGGGGGGGGGAGGGGGGGGGGGCGGGGCGGTAAGGGAGGGAGCGCGAGCCGCACTTTAACACGCAAAGTGCCAGGGAGACATATTACTATAGAGGGATAATCATCACGATGAGCAGGGTAATTACCTAAGAGTTGATAATTAACTTCAAATTAAAAATGTATTGTCAAGCTAAAATAAAGTTTAAAAAATTAACTGGACGTTTATTGGGATTGGCTAACTTCCCGCTTTGTAAACAAACGTATAACATGTACTTTTTACCAGTGAAATGAGCACTCTATGAACCAACTTTTTGCTTCTAAACAACTGTTATGAACATCGTCTTGTGCCATCAACAAATTAAAAAAAATTGACAAAGCCTTATAATTCCCTATAATGCATCAAATGCATTATAGGGAATTGGTGAGGGACTTGGTGTGTCAGGTCACGTGACGTCAATTTCTCCCGCTAAATTTAGCGGGGAAACTGGGTAGTGTCTGGGTCTCAAGAGGTGAATTCTTCCGCTAAATATACGTGTTAACTGTATTGTTGTTTAGGTCACGTAACGTCAGTTTTCCGCTTAATTTAGCGGGGAAACTGAATTGACGTTTTGTCTAAAAGACGTGCATTTTCCCGTTAAATTTAGCGGGTAAATTTAGTTGACGTACAGGTCACATGCCATCCATTTTCTTAAGGTCAGGTGACGCTACGTAACGCCGTGTTACCCGCTAAATTTTGAAGGAAATGCACGGACAGATGGACGGACGAAATTTTGGGATTGGGGGTAGCGTTAAAAAGCATTTCATGCTTTAATTATTTACCGTTATGCATATTCAGTCAACCAAAGAATTCGGGTGACTGATTTAAAAGACTTGACACCATAAAAATGTTATTCTACTTTAATATCTGTTGATAACAATCACATTTTCGTACCGTTTGTCCTATCATATCACATCTCACATTTCACACCGTTCAATTGAGTGAATGCGTCGTATTTAATACCGTTTACATAGTGTGTAATTGTTAATAATTTGTTGTTACTTTGTATTAAAGTAGGTTAATTAAAACCGATATGATCGCATGTTGTGTTTCGTGTGTTTTATCTCCTTGACACTTAGCCACTTATATTATTAAATGTGTTGAACTTAAGGTAAATTACCGAAAGCGTTCTTCTTGCTGGCACTTCGGCATAGTTTTGTCTAGTTTACTTGTGCAGTTTGTAAAGCAGCATTCGCCCTTGCCTTGGCCACCGATTTAGTGACTGGCAATAGTCTTCCCTGATTGAATGAATGAATGATTGGATTAATGAATGAATGAATATGATGATGATGATGGCCCATGTCCGTACCTCTCGTATCACCTCGAAGATGGGCCTGAGCTCTTCCAGGCTTTGCCTGGAGGTGATGGAGTAGACGAGAATGAAGGCGTGACCCCTGGAGATGTTCAGTCTCTGCATGGCAGGGAACTGGTGACTGCCCGTCGTGTCGGTGATCTGCAGCGTGCAGATGTTCTTGTTGCAGCTGATCACCTGCGCCAAGGCAGAACGGTCGCTCAACATCCCATGCTCGCTTCAGATGACTTGCACATGGCAAAGCGTTTTCCTGCGTGGCGGAGAACGCCTTGAGGTGTTGACACCTCACTGAAACTCGCTGCTAAAAGCAAAATTTTACAAAGGCTTGACTCGAGTTCGACTATAATGCGATTACGCGGAAATTGAAAACGAGCTGGCGCTGTCCGGTACATGAGTGACGCGATATTTGTCAAACCAACCAAATATTTAAAAGTCGAGTAGTTTTATTGTTTAATAATCAAATTTTGAAACGTTTGTGGACAAGCCGGGAAAGTCTGTTGAAACCAAAATCCGTGCTTTCGAAGGTTCGTGAATCAGTTCAACTTTAGGATCGCCATCCCTATGGTCACTTACAGATTAAGAAAATATTTCGAGGGAAAAGAAAACTGGGGAGGAAAAAGCAGACGGAACGCTGGAAAGAGGTGGAGGTTTTCTCCTCTGCAGCATTCCGTTTGCTTGCTCCTCCCCCCCTCCTTTGCCTCGAAAACCCTTCTTAACCTGAAGTGACTATCGTTAGACCTGCGATGCGCGAAGCAATGCTTAGATCACCGACTGCCAGCGACTTGAACGCCTAACCACAGACTTTTATGTGGGTATGGCGACCGGAACGCGCTTTGGACTCCTGTGTTTAGCGTCCTATTCCGTCCACGCATCTAGAAGTGGTGCCGAAGTGACAAAAAAAGACGGCACAAAAGCCGCAAGTGTCATGCTGTTGCATATTGCGATCCTGGCGGTTGGTCGTAGAAATGCTGGCGAAGAAAACGAGCGAACGCGAGTGTCGCTGTCGTCGCGATGTCCCAACTTTTGACTGCCGAAGCTTCCGTGGACTGTCAAGCAGGAAAGCGCCCCGCAACGAACAGGCGTCTGCAACCTCCACCACCGCTGCCGTGGCACCGCCAGGATCGCGGTCGGCGACAGCGTGACACTTCTATGACTTCATCAAGTAAAAATAGAAAAAAAAAACTTATTTTTGTATTTGCGTGGTGAACACATTAGTGTGAAACGCGTTTTAGGCACCAGAATGTGTGGGGAAGTGTGAGCGAGAAGGACAATCATTCACTAAGTGGTGTATGCGATTGCCACGCCGTGGCAGCACCGTCGCTTATTGTTTTAACGACTTCTCACTGCTGCGGTGGCGCCGCGGTCGATACTTCACGCGGATGCTTCACACGAGTCCGCTTATACGCACTCGCAGCGCCCACACTTGCTGCGGGCAAACGTGGACTTATTTATACGCGTGTTGGTCTACGCTATTCGAAATCGTATTTAGGGCTTCGAAAGCGCGGTAACCCCTCGTTCTCGTATACGCGAGTGTAGATGTGTTTGAGGAGCACTTATTGGGTCGGCTTTAGGAAATTGGTGAAGATTCAATTATAAATCCGTGGGAATCTGCATTTAGGCTAGCGTCCTGCGACCGGCTCTGTTCGCCCCGCCGAAGTCAGGCAGTAATTGAATTGATAAAATGTATTGCAGTTATTTTTGAGCCATTTCTAATTGTAGTTTATTATCGACTAAAATAACCGTCGTAATATATTTACTTTTTTGGCGCCGGTAATTGCAACACTTGTATCGCAAATCCAAGTCTTTTCAAATATCATTTTGTCATAATGATGGAGCTTCGTTCTATTCGCTTTCTCGCGTGAGTTGAAATGTGGTTGCGCCAGTGTGGCAAATAGCCCTTACACACTTCCGGTTCTGAGCTAGACGGCGGGTTTTGTACTATTAGCGAGATCAAATCTAGGCGCTAACTTTAGGAAAATGTCACTAACGGCACTATTAGGCGTAATTCACCCTTATAAAAAAAAAAGAAGGAAATATGCACAGACCGAAAGTACCAAGCCCACCCGGCATATGGCGCCACTGATCTAAAGGCCGAGGCGAAGATAAACTGAGTGTTTTTCAAGCTGCCCTTGTGCCAACTCGTGGGTGTTTGAAAGTGTCGAGGCTGCGTCAGAGCACCGACCGCAAACGAACAGCTGATCAACTGTTAAAACAACCTAGAGAGGAGCACCGAAGATGCCCCACATAAAGCGAGTTGGTTCCATTGTCAAAATGAAGAAAAACATGAATACAAATATAATGATCGTGACGCAGACAGTGATTAAGTTATCGCGACTCCTGTCAGTCATTTTCTTACAGTTAAGACTTTGAACCTCCGTTAGATTCTTTCAGTAAAAGAATAATTTTGTTGTGTGTTTGTTTGTGTTGCGGGAGTCAGCCCCAATATGGCCGTCTCGTGTCTCCTCTGTAGATGAGAAATTCAGCCATTGCGGTACAAGCGCTGCAGGACCGCACGCCGGTACGATGCTCATTCAGATCGAAGCTGGCAGGGTTCCATGGGTTCTGCAGCGCGAGCTTTCGCTTCACCTGCTCTGAGCTGGTGCGCGCTAGCCCACTCAGCCACCATCTTCCACTCCCCACAAACACTAATATGTCACTTTTACTTCCAACTGCCGTGATAGAAAGGAAACAAATAACATTGTTGGCGTGGAAATAAGCTATTTTTATTATTACAACGCTAAATTATATTATATTAAACGACGATAAAACGAGTGACTCGCATCGTGCTGAAAACTAACTTTTCATATCATGGTATTTATGAAGTAGGCGAAACAAAGTTATACATAGCGACGAATCTGAAAAGGCGTATAATGGATCCTCAGTGGTCGGTGAACTAATGCCTCAAAGTGCTGAAAACGGCTATTACCTTATCATATAGTAGAAATCGGGTAGTTCTCAAAGGAAAGTAAATGTGAATTAACTGCGTTGCATTTTTTTTAAGTAATGCACACTAGCAAATAATTACTTCTTGCACGATCCTAATTTTAATTACAGTTACCTGAAAATTCCGAATAAACGCCCACTTAAGGCAGACTAAACTATTTTCGGAGAAAAATAGCTTTAATTGTAATTGAATTACATTTCCGATGTAGCTTTTTCCCAAGCACTTTCCGGTTTGTGAGAGGCACCTGTGAACCCCCTACCGGCGGATAATCAAAATATACTCTTTTCGAAAGTTCATCAAGCAACATTGGCGGTCGAAATTTGATGTTTTTAGTTTTTTTGCCGATCCCCCGAAGGTCATCCTGGTGATATCCCACACTGCCTGGTGATGGTTTGGGGTAGAACATTGATTTTAGAAGGGCGGGAGGAATCATGTGTTGGTATTTTTAGAATTAGGCTAGGTGGCACAAGCTACCACTCGTTACAAAGGGTATAGCCATCAACATCCATCCATCCATCCATCGGGCATGAAGCTTGTGATTGGACCCGAGTCCTCGACGAGCGCTGACTCAACTGTCGTGTCTAATACATGCACGTGGCAGGTGCCCAGAAAGTTGCGGCTTCTGATAATTGGCGCCGCAGCTACTAGATGGCGTGCACTTTCGAAAAGCGTCTATTGATCCATGAATTTCTCCAATTCCTGATGGGGAGTAAAAAAAAATGCCGGTTGATCCAGAGGACAGCGTCCAAGCACTCTCGAAGGACGACGACGAAAAGATGCTTGTTAGATTTGCGAGAATCAATTTGTTTGTTCGAGTTCAACCTCACAACTTTGTTCAGTAAGTAGTCGAACTTGCGTTTAACCTCGGGTTTCGGCTGCTGGTCATGCGAACCTTAGAACTTTTTGCTAATTTCGACAACGTTTAGCTTGTAGAAGAAAAAGTCAAAGCCGTTTACAACTTCCTGTAACGCCGAATTAGAGCGCAGCTCTTGAGAAGGAGGAGGGAGGGGTACTGAGGGGAAGCTATACACCTCCTCCTTATCCTCCTCCTTCCCTCCTTCAATCTCCTCCGGGGGGGTCACCTGACCTCAGGGAGCGGGTCACGTGACCTCGGGGGAGGGGGGTGACGCGACCTCGGGGGGAGGGGTCACGTGACCTCCGGGGGAGGGAGGTCACGTGACCTTGGAGAGGGGGGTCACGTGACTCCCTCTTCCCGAGGTCACCGAAGGTACCCGAGGTCCTCCCGAAGGAACCCGAGGTCCTCCCGAGATCCTACCGATGGAACCCAAGGTCCTCCCGAAGGAACCCGTGGTCCTCGGGAGCACCTCGGCTTCCTTCGGGAAAATTTACCCATAATGCACCGCGCGGTTACGTCGACGGCGACAGCGACGGCGACAGCGACGGCGACGCCGCTCAAGCCGGAAACGGGCGCCTAAGAGCTGCGCTTTAAAAGGAAGTTATACTGAATGGTTGCATGTAGACATCCCCAACTTTCTGGGACATCAACGCCTCAGCGCATGCACTACGATGAGTATTTCAATTGAATGGCTAAAAACATCGTAAATGACCCCCGGGAACATTTTAGATGACAGTCATAAAATAGTAAGAAGCCGTTATTAAACTTTTGGACGCATATATTTTTTTTTTCCGCGGCTCTACAACTTTTTTTTTAATTGAATTCTATGGTTTTTGTTTACCAAACTGTTCATTTATGTTTTTGTTGAAAAAAAAAACACAGAAAAACATCGTAATGTTCCCGAGGACTGTATAACTAACTGCCTGGGTATCATATAGAAAGCAAATCTATAAGAAATGTGATATTTTCTCGATAATTTCATTCCAAGGAATTTCCCCGAAAGTTGGCCATGGTGACCAAGAAGAAGGAAAAGAATTCAATTGGCTTGACTTGGCTTGGCTAATGCGGCTACAAATCGCTGTCACAGTCACACTGCTCGTACACATCATACAAAAGACCCGGTCTGCGGACATGATTACAGTTTATTCTGCGGACACGCCTGAAGCATGTGCGCTTCGTACAGATGTATGATCCTAACATGTCTACATCAGGCAGTCTTTTGTATGGTGTGTTGTCAGTGTGATGGCAACTAAAGGATTCCTGTTACCAACGAGTTATAGCTTGGAGTGTGATTGATTACTTACAGTAGTATCCTTAAAAACCTCGATTGAGTGATTTTTAAAATTTTTTTAGGAACTTGGGTTTCCTTAAGATGGATCCATTGTATCGAATGACCATTTACGATTTAGGACAGTCAGGTCCACTGGACAGTGCTTCTAAAACCGCGACGAAACGTTTAAAAAAAACATGGCGCTGTAAAAAAAAAAAAAAACTAAAAAAACAGAATTTCGCATTGTTACAATTCGAGTAAGTTGGTAGTGCATTAAGACACCAAAAGCAGAGATAAAACAGTTTATGCGCAGGTGAGTTCATCATAGACTGGGTGGAGAACGAATACAATCCGAAGGGGAAAAGAGAAACAAATTACAGAAGGCAACGTTCTATGCTTGCCTTCTTGAGACGTTGCCTTCTTTCATTATGCTGCTTCTTTCATTATGCTGCTTTCTCTTCTACTTTGGATTCGACTCATTCTCCACACAGCCTCGGGTGACTTAAGAAAATGGCAAGACAATAACAACAGAGGTCTGCATGTCTTCTTATCTTCCGTCCATCTTCGCACCTAGATTGCTTTATTGAATGGTTGTTTCGAATGGACGGCTTTATCTGAGACCCCTGGAGAGCCCACTGGCCTCGAAAAGCGACTGTGGGGGCTGGTGAGAGGACTCACCTGCCGGTAGGTGTCTTCGACGGTGGGGATGTAGCTCTCCCGAAAGGTCCCCTTGACGAACCGCAACACCAGGGAGCTCTTGCCGACGCCGCCGGCGCCAAACACCACCACCCGGTAGTCGTTGCTTTGCTCGGGCATCTCCTCCAGAAACGCCTCCTGGACAGGTCAATGCACCAGCGGTTCCGTCAGATTCGCGCGCTTTCTGAAAGCGCGCCTTCGAAAGCGCGCGCTTTTCTGTCGCGGTGACCTCCTTTCTCCCCCTTCCTTCCCTATTTCTCCCCCACCGCCGCTGTTCCCGCACTTTCTTTCTTTTCTTCCCCCCGCAAGCTCTCCTGCTCGAAAGATCTGGTCCTACTCTCGATTTTGAAAGGGAGACTCCGGTGAGCGCCGGGTAGCCATCCATCGGCGCGCCATTGGACAAGCCCGGGCCGTGACGTCACCCCGGGGCGTCCAATGGCACGTTTTTGATTCGTGTTTGGTTCTGGAGTTCCGGCGCGCCTCCATCTTTTTTTCATTCGCGGATTTTCGGCAGCGGTGTGAGAGCAGAGAACGTCCGATGTGGACCGGTTCGTTTGTACTGCGATGGATGCGGTGCTTTTATTTTGTAATTTCCTTCTCCTTCGTGCAAGTGTGCGTTGGAAGGATGCTTCCGCTAGACGGTGGAGGGCAAGATGTTCTCTGGGTCGTGGTGAGAGACGGGAACAGGAGCGAGGGTAACGCGGAAGCGGCAGCATTTCACACGCATCCTTTGCGGTGTTGGGTCAGACAGGAGATGAAAAGAAAAATCTGAGTCGGCCATCTTTCAACGCCCGAGCACGACGGCTGGTTTGTCTAGGCACTCCCTGCCTCCGTCTCGCACGAATATAGGCTGGAAAAGAAGATGCGTTCCACCTATTCAGCTCTCTCATGTAGACAAGGTTATGGCTTACAACTACTCATCATACGATAACAGAGTCGATCTACCACTTTTGTGACCCTTGCACTTCCTATGCTCTCACTGGCGACCACCGAAATACTTTAAGCTGCACTACGTCGAAGCACAAACGATATTCGAAAGGCTCGAATTTGAGGTACAAGAGGAATCTCTCCAATAAGTACAGCGAAAACTGGCTTGTTAGGAGGCTCATGACCCAGTAGTGATCGTACTATACAGGTTAAGAACAAATCAGATGCTCTGCCTCGAGCGCAAAGCCTTTGATAGTACTTCGTCGCACAAGCAGCCAGAGCCGGGATCAAGGCAGCGAGCCCTTGCTGGAAGCTCGACCTGCCACCGACTGGAGGTATTTCAGAGCTCGAAAAACATATTGTCATTCGAATAATCAACATGTTACATTGGGCAAGGTAGAAAAAAATCTCAAGGGCACGTGACGCAATAACTCTTTTAAGAGAGAGAGAGAATAAACTTTATTGAAATCGGCCCAGCAGTTTTGCTTAAAGTTATATTTTTATTACGTTCTCGACGAAGAAATGTAAATCGAAAGTTTCGAGTCGCGTTCAATCACATCATCCCGTGATATTTTCTATTTATGGAATGTTGTGTAAACAAGAGAAAAAATCGGGAATTAGTTACGAGCGCAGGGTGAGCGTAATCTCAGATATTTCATGCATCCGAAATTATTTAACACTCTTTAAGAATGAATAACTTCTCTTCGTTAAAGATGAGGCGGATGTTCATGCTGCGAGAATATCATAGAGCGAGACAAATAGATGTAAAAAAACTGCGGCGCTTCTATCAGCCGTTTACTTTACTTGTCCTTGAAGTGTAAAATGAACACTCAGACTCACAAAGCAAAACATTATTTGCATAAACGGTCTCTTGTTGAAACGATAATCCGACCACACCGTGTTTACATATACGATCGTTACTTATTAACACGTGTTTCTGTCTGTAGTTCATTCGTTTATTTCCGAACACCAGGTAGCCTGAATTTAAATGACACCTCTAACGACACGTCGTTCAACAGAAAGTGCCCATTGCACTTGATGGTTAGAAAAGTTTGTTTTTAATACAATCTTCAAATATGTGCTCGAGGCAATAAACTCGGAATGAATTTTTCACGGTTGCTCGTAAGCACGGGCGTGCAAGCACGCACGCATGTGCACCCACACACAAACACGCACACAAATGTGAAAACACTCAACACACGTAAACGCCCGTGTATGTGTGAATGCCTGATAATCGTGTGCCCACACTCAAATAGGGGATTCAACATACATACACCGGCACAGACAGATACAGGCATTCACAGAAACGAACACACACACGCGCAGCCATGTATCCATATAGGCAGGCACGAACACAAACACGCCTTCACACTCACGGAGACACATAAGCACACACATGCACGCGCGCACACACACACACACACACGCAGCCACCACGCGAGCACACACATACACACACGCACACAGGTAATGATCGAATAAAAGCCAACACGCTACCAATCACGGCGCCGCGGCGTGCCATACTTAACGGCCCGTCATCAGTTGTCCCATGTCAGGCCGTCGTCAGGGGAGAGGTTAATCTCGATCCGACAGGGCGCGCTGACGGCGTTCCCCTTCCCAACCTGTATTACGTGACCCACATTGCGGCGACGCGTGCGCTGTTCTTCCGGAGATGCGGAAATAAGGGTTGAGGGAACAAAGAGGAGCCAACAGCGAGGGGAAATAAGGGAGGAAAAAATTGGGGAGGAGCTCTGCCCAGGGACCCGGTTTGGGGAGTCTGTCCGGGGATCCCCGGGCCCGGGGTCCGCCCGGGGTCGTTGACCTCTCTCCGGAGGAGTCGTCGCATCCGGGTGCAGGTAACGGTATTGATCCGTTTGCGCGCGGACTCTCTCCACCCCCGCGCGCGCCTTTTTTCCCGCGCGCTTCCCTCCTTTGGATGCCACATTTCGTGTTTCGCGCGCTTTCTTTCGCGCGCTCTGCTTCGCAAAGTTCTTCCTCCCCCGCGCGCGCGCGGTCGCCGCGTCCCGGTGACCCAGGTAGACTCCCGGATGAAGGAAGAAAGAGCGAGGGAGAGAGACCAAGAGAGAGAGGAGAGAAAAGAAGGAAGAGCGAGGGAAACGATAGGCTCTATAAATATATAAACATATTGTATATCTTTCTCTCCTTTTTTTTTCCTTTTTTTTTAAACACTGCCCTAACCTGTGTCAAATAAATGTGCTTTCTTTTTGTGTTTTTTTTTCTTTTCAGCTCGTTTTTTTGTTTTATTTCACATACTTTTGCTTCGAATGGGACATGAATCTTGACGAGTTGTACATATTTTAATATCTCACGAAGAGTGGTCTACGCTCGAGTCGTCGAATCAAACTCCATAATAACTGTGACAAGGCAAACCATTTTTTTTTCTCGAATATATACCGATATGAGGACGAGTGATTGAGTGAGTCCATGCCTGTTGGATGTTAACGTCCGTGCCTGTCTGTTCGCTTAGCTGAACTATAACCTGCGTTAAGGACTCCTGTTTTTTTTTTTAATTGTGTATTGTTTCTTCGCACATTTTTCTTTCTTCCTCGAGGAATCTATTAACCTTTCCCTGCTAGCCTTTCAGGTTGAGCCGACGAAGATCGGCCTCTGCTCGAAATCAACCACCTTCGGCAGCCTGGTTCCTTGTCGGCCATTGCAGCTCGTTCAGGTGCGCGTCGCTCTACAAAGGCGGTACACGTACTTGTTTTGGAACGATATTAGTTTAGGGGTTGGAATTCGCGCGAAAAGTGTAACGCTCGAACGTAACGAACCAAGCACTTGCAGGCTGCAAGTGCCTGGTGTAACGGTTGCTAACGGAGCAAAAGCTACGTTTATTTGTAGAAGTGTGCGAATAGTGATTTTTAAAACCGAATCGTATACGAATCGAAAAATGGTTGCACCAAATCGAATACGAGTACGAATCGAATAACTTTCAAATAGTTTCAGAATAGTAACTAGACAGCTACTAAAGAAGAGCAAAGAGATTATAAAACTATTTTCTTGTTCAAAAATGTTTCTTATAATTATTGTAAAAACGCGACTAGACGATAGTGACTAAAGTTCAACGATATATAATTAATTAGACACAAAAGCTACTAAAATATGAAAATGCTAAACATAAAATCACGGTTCACGCGGATGCTGAACATAAAATCAAAGTTCGCTTGAGCCTAGTACATCCTGAAGCAATGTACTTAGTAGGAACTCTACATTCTATTTTTATTCCTTGTTGTAGCAGATTTCCTTAAATCAAGAATCAAGGAAGGTGGCAAGGGCGTGATGTGCCTGCGTCCAGGAACCTTGTTTTCACTGATCTGAGAATATTCTGGGAAAACTTGTCTTGTTCCACTTGCGCCTTCAAAAAGCAACATCTTCACACAATCAATAAGTGGAACAACCACGGAAAGTGTTCTGAAAGAATTGACACAAGCAGCTGTTGTGGCTTCTTTAATTGGTTGCATGGGAGCGGCCGAAAAACTTCCACACTCTACTGCACTTTTTCTTCGAACATCATCCCGCTTTTACCACCTTCTACTTCTCTCATACAGAGCAACGGTACCGTTGCAACCAGTTCTGAAACGTCTCCACGACACACTTTCCGAAAGCGAGCACGAGCAGTCTCGTGTGAAAGCGGTCTCTAAAGGCTGAACCGCATGTAAGCGATTTAGCGAGCGACGAGACGAGTGACAGCGACGAAAGTCAGCAACGAGCGACGGAGATCTCATCTCTCACTGTCGCTGGTTGCATCGCTCGTGGTTTGGATTTCTAGACAACTTAGCGCTCATCGCCTTGGTCGCTCGCTCACGCCACTTTCATGCGGCTTGCCTCATCGCGCGACTGACCGAGCGACTGCGATTTGCCCGAACGACGGGACGCGTTTGCGGTAGGGGTACGGGCCGGTAAAGATGTACGGTATGTGCTTGGTGACAACTTTTTCTTGCATTTCAGAAATGCTGAAGATTGTGCGTGCGCAGCTTTGTTCGAAGCAGATCGACGTAACAAGTCTCGTCCCTTGGCGGATCGCTTTCATGCGGGTTATGCTTAACACAGTGGTCCTTAATGAAGGCAAGAGAAACGTACGTATAGAGAGAAACTGCTGCTGCCGATGATGATAATCATTGTCGAGGAAAAGAGGGTACGTATTGCCATCTTGTGAGCACGTATGGCAGGCG